ATACTTCTAAGCCACCACGGCTACATTAAAAACAGTGTGGGGATTCTGGCAGACTTTAGACGAGACACAGCAGGTACCAAAGAGTCAAGGAGGTTTCTCCTGCTGCGTACACTAGGCGCCGAGCATCTGTCGTCACTGTCCTTGACCCAGATGTCACCTGGGGATGGTCTGCTCCATGGGTCACCCGTGGCCGTCCTGGCTCACCTCTCCATCTCTCCCCCTGCTCCTCGCCAAGTCCCAGAAAGTCAGCCATCAAGGGTGGGTGGGCCTGCAGACGCTGGGTCGTCCTGCATCAAAGCAAGCAGGGAAGGGGGTGGCAGTTCCCATTCGTGCTGTCGGCTTCCGTTTCTACCACAGTAACAGGTGAGCTACGAGCAGAGTGCAGACCCGGAACGCTCGATGATCTTGTTACAGGAGGAACTCTGCGTACAACCTCCAGGAGACATTTATAATGTGCAAATATATTCCACAGTGACTGGAAATAACTATCCCTCCAGATGACTTAAAGGCCACAGCTGGTTGTGGTGGGGACACTAAGTTCTAAAGCTCCTCCCGGACACTTGTCTTAAAGCTTCCAGAGTACCAGCTTCCTCACTCTGGGGGGAAAATCTCATCTCATTATAGACACCTCTGATATTCCAACACGTTCTTCCTCCTCTCTATGCTTCTTGAACATGACCCTGGTACAAGAACAGAGTGTAGACACCAATCAAGACTTAAGCTGCTGGTCACACACCCGACTGTCCCAAGAACTGAACCACAATCTAGTCACTCACACAGCTAAAGTGAAGACACTGCGCTCGGTGCTGGGGACATCACAGCTCCCAGGACGGTTGCGTCCCTGCCCTTGCGGCACCTATGTTCCAGAGACCGACTCACCAGACAAGGGTGGTGGGAGGACGCCTCTCTGAGGAGGCACCCCCAAGCTGAGACCCACAGGATAAAAAGAAACCGGTCACCTAGTCACCTAGTGAGCCGGGGCAGACAGCTGTGGGCTGCATATAAGCCACGGAAGCACCAAGAAACGTCGAGGGGGCACCTCTGTGGCTGGAGCGGGATGTGGGGAGAGTGGAATGAAATGAGGCAGAGGTAGGCAGAATTCTCCTGAATTCTGAGGATTCAGGAGATGGTAAGGACTGTATTTTATTCCAGTAAAATTAGAAGCCATAGCAGGAGTGAAGTAGAAAAATCAAGACACTCTCTTGGGGCAGCTGCATGGACAGCGGTTTGGAGTGAGGCAAGCGTGGGAAGGGGGGGGTCCATGAGGAGCCCACAGTGGCCAGAGGAAGGTCATGGAACAAGACAGACCTGGGTTCAAATTCCAACACTGCCATTTCATAAGATGTGTGATTTGGGGCAGTTTATATAAGCACGCCAGGGTAAAGCTGGTCAGGTCACTGAGGGGACAGCAGGAGGGGACGTCTGCGGTGTGTCTCGCCCCGCACCTGGCACCCACCACCCCTGAGAGACAGCAGGAGCCCCAGGCGGGCTGTGGAAGCCCTGGCTCCTGTCTGGCCTGGGGCTTCATTACCCTCTGCCTCAGCTTCTTCACCCATTCTGTGAGGGGGACAAAGCCATTCCCCCGCATGCTGGAGGACAGCCCAGGACTGAGACAAAGCTCTTGGGTCCTGGAGTCAGAAAGCACAGGTTCTAAATGCTGAGCCTGCTGAGCACCAGCGCAGAGCCGTGGCCAGTTACAAAACCTTTCTACCTCAACTTTCTCTTCTGTAAAATGGGGATCATAACAGTATCTGTCTCAAAGAGTGGTCATGAGGTTTAAATAAAATTCAGATGCCTGGCATGGAAGAGGCTAGTTCTGTTAGACTCACAGGCCGGCCACTACTGTACCCCCAGCGGTCAACAAAGCTGGGCCACAGAAAGGGCTAGAGGGGCGCCTGGGTGGCTCAGTCATTAAGCGTCTGCCTTCGGCTCAGGTCATGATCCTAAGGTGCTGGGATCGAGCCCCATATCGGGCTCTCTGCTCGGTGGACAGCCTGCTTCTCCCTCTCCCTCTCCCCCTGCTTGTGTTCTCTCTCTCCCTGTCTCTGTCAAAAAAATAAAATTAAAAAAAAAAAAAAAAAAGAGCTAGATCACCTGGGTCAGGAAAAACCTCTGTCTATTCAATTGTCAGCACCACTTAGTTCTCTGGCCGCTGTCCCACCCGCCCCCCAGCACATGTGACCGTTCAATGCATCCCTGAAACCAGTTTCCCCGCCAGCACCCGATGCCACATGGGGGTCTCATTAAACACAGCACCATTCCTGGGTTTCTCCATTCTCCCTTTGTCAATTTTCAGTGCAGGGACAGAGAGTGAAGGTGATCACCATGGAGGGAGGAGGAGCGGAAACAGTCTGTGCATACTCGTCTGTGTGCTCAGGAAGCATCAAGTAAGGGTCCGTGATGGGGACAGCCTGATGCCGCCGTGGCCATGACCTTCGTGGAACATTCATGAAAAGCAGCACGTAATTCCACATGATTATCAGAGCCACAATGTTACGTGACAGCAGAAGATGGAACAATGAAAGGGGGTCTTGCTCGAGCTGGAATCCTGGAAGACTTCTCTCCGGTATTCTCTCCTGTGTATTTCAAACTGGAAGAACCAGTCGGGGTTGGCCAGTGTACACAGGGGAGAAGCCCAAGCGTGTGCGAGCCTGGGAGAGGAAGGAGCTGGGGACACCAGCGGAGGAGGGAGGTCAGTGCGCCAGGAGGGAGACTAGCAAGGGCTGACAGGTGGGGTCAGGCAGGGAGGCGGAAAGTCTAGGAAGATGCGCCCCCTCCCCACCCCCGCTCAAGCCGGCACTTACTACCGAGCACTCTCTTTGCCAGGGACGTCTGCAAAAGAGGTCAATCGGACGCATTTGCCTTCGGGGAGCTCACAAGCAGGTATAGGCAGCAGATCCAGTGGGGGCGCGTCACCAGCTCCTGGGGGCAGAGAGGACAAGCTCGGCCAGGGCTCCGTCCCTGAGAAGCCGAGCGCCTGTCCCCACCAGACCGCAAGCCCCACGAGAGCACGGAGGGGCCTCCTCCTTGGCCAGCACTGTATCCCCAGCAGCGAGAACAGTGTCCACCACATGCCCCAGCGGACAGCAGGAAACGCAGAAGCCACAGATGGAAGCAATGACAAAGACACACACCAGGGACCTGAATCCAGCAACACAGGAAAAGGATCGTGTCTGAAAGGCTGTTTCACATTCTGGCTCTACCTGCTATCAGGATGGTCACGTGCTAGTAATGAAGACGGTATCAGGGAGGGGCCGTGGAAGACCCATCCTCTGAACACAGAACAGAGCCAGGAAAAGAATCATGCCTACGGGACAGTGACTTATGACAAGGTGGCCCCGTGGAGCCAGGGGTAAAAGGAAGGTCTTCTCGTAGTGGGGCAACTGCAGAACCACAGGGGGACAATGAAAAAACTGCACCCTGACTGTACATCCGAGTAAGAACTAGCTTCCGGTAGATGGCAGCTCTGTCAGAAAGGCAAGACTGGAGAGCTGCCAGCGAAAACACAGAAAAAGGCTCTTCCAGCCTCAGGGTCTCAGTGAGACACAAAACCCACTAACCATAGAGGGAAGAAAAAACACCTGAGCACCCCAGAAGTCAGATCAGAGTCAGCTCTGGAAACTGGGCTGGGTAAGAAGGGGCCCAAAGGAGCCCTCCAGGGGATGGGACCAGCCTGAATCTCCATCTGGGTGAGCGCTGCAAGGGTGTGTACATGTGCGGAGACGCCCACACGTTGTACACTCAATATCTCAACGATAAAGATACCGTAAGAAAAATAAAAACAAGAAAATAAAACAAGCCATGAATAGGAGAGACTCTTTCAATGCACATAAATGAACAAAGAATTCACAGCCTGAATACAGGAACATGAATCAATTTTGAAAAGAGAAAGAAATTGTAAATAGAGACAAAGAAATATCTGACCGCATCTTCGTGACACAGGAAGTCCCGATGGTCGGTAAGTGTCAAAACATGCTTATGACTAACCAGAGGGATTCAAACAGCATCATGGCAGCATGCTGCATTCATCAGAAGGGCAAACATTTTAAAGTCTGTATCAAGGGCTGGGGAAGATGTAGGACGGGAGTATAAATTGGTACAGCCGATTCTGAAAAGTTCGGTGTCCTGGAGAAGAGCGTTGAAGATACACAAACTACAAGACAGAAATTCCAGAAATGTTCAAGCACCATTCACTATTAACTGTAATAGCACCCAAGTGGAAATACCTAAATGTCCACCAACAGCTCAATGAAGTAACTATTACATGTTCTTGGGATGGAACACTCACGATGAACTACTTGCAACGATTTGGAGAACGATTTTGAGTGACAGATGACAAAACAACGCAAGCCATGATTCCATGTAAGCGGATTCAGAAACAGCCAACCACAGCCCCCTGTGCAGGAAGGCATGCATGGGAGCCCACCGGGGAAGCGCGGAGGCTGCTCCAGGCTCTGCAGAGCTGGGCCACGATCCTGTCTGCACCTGGGTGCTGGTTACACGTACGTCTGCTTTACAATCTTTTTTTTACAAGCAGCACGTACACACTCTTCCCACTTTTTGGTGGGCACGTTCTGTTTCAAGATAGGAACGGTCTCGTAAACTTAGCATGACAACTGAACTAGGACTGAAGGTGTGCAGGTCTGCCAACTCGCCTGCACTAAGAAATACTGCCCCAACACCCCAAGCTTCCGAATTCTGTGGGTTCTACCACCTCAGTGCACAGACGTTGTGCAGCGCGTGCAGCGGGCTCCCAGGCCACGGCCCAACCAGCTATGCATCAGCAGCCAGGTGGGAGGAGGCAGCTGGGCACCTTCGCCACCATTTCCTTCTTGAAAACCTGTTAGGATTTCCTGGTGCTTCCTAATCTTAACACACAGAAGAAACGCTTGAATAAGAGTGGTGCTAGCTTCTAAAAGTGCTTTAGGAGAGAAAGAAAGAAGTCGTTTTGATTCTGACAATCTGATTTCTCTCAGAAAATGTGTTGTCTTTTTCTAGGCTTTTCCTATCCTTACCCAGAAAGCGTAGAGATCTTTATCTGCATCTGACAAAGTCATCATTTTGTGAGCTTCTAGAAGAATGAAAAATTAGGCCATGAACCAAACACGAAGACAAGTATCTCTTGTAAAAGTAAGGCTCGTCGTGGTCATGTGAAAAATGTCAAGTGCACGGTTGGGTCCTTGTTGTCAAACTGCAATCCACCTCCTATTTTTGCTTTTGCCTGGCTTCCGTCCACCCATGAGGCTTCTTCCCAGCATGGGGCCTGTTTTCAGTTGTACTCAGTTAACCCTGAAGAAAAGGTCTGTCCACTCCTCAAACAGCCTTTCCTGGCAGCTCGCAGAAACCAACGGGCCTTGTTGGGCTGGGAGCAGGCGGATTTCTCGGGGTGGCCAGGGCTCACGACCCACAGCACAACGCCTGCTGCCCCGGGGCCAAAAGCACTTCACCTCTGCCTCAGAAGGGATATGCAGCAGACCAGAGGCCGGTAAGAGTGGGAAAGGGGATATCTGAAAGTTAGCTTTCTTTTTATGTTTTCCGGATCTGTGCCAGTGTCCAAGTGAAGGAGTGAATGTAGGTCCACAAAACCACGGACTAAGAAAGCCTGAGCAAAAGGAGGCCTCCCTTTCCCTGTCGCCAGGCCAGCATGCCTCACTCCTGTGAGGCAGTCAACTCCGCGCAGGAAGCAGGCCCTGTATTTCCTACAGGTGGTTTGCAGGAAGACACCAAGAGGCTCGGGATGCAGGGCCCCTGGTGCGGCTCTCTTCCGTCCCACCCGCTGGTACCGCCTGGAAAGTGGCATCTGGACATACATTTCCCATCAGCCTCCAAGCAGGGGCTCAGCACACAGCTTCCTTCACGGAGTCAACAAGGACTAGCTGCTCACCGAGCTCGTTCCTTCAGAGACTCAAACACTCACCCAATAGGCTTTGTTTGGTTTTCATTTTTTCTTTTTTTTAATCTGATGGTTCTAGAAAAGTAAGTGGCACAGAGAGCACAACACTTCCTGCTAAGACTGAGGCTCTCAAAACAAAAGAGCCAGGGAATTACTACTTAACAGTGCTGGACTGACTGTGGCACACCGATGTTTTGACCAGACCCTTGTCTGTCACTGCTAAATTTGACTGAGGTCATTTTAGGCAAAAATACTGACATTAGTCAGGAATACCTGGAACACGTTTCTCTCTGCCAAGCTTCGGCAACCCAATCTCTCCCCAAGTGTTTTACAAAATACACGGTCTGTGTAGCAATGTTATTTTAAGTCCACCAATTTTAAAAAAATCATTTATTAACATCCTAAACACACTCAAAAGTCATTGCTCTTTTTAATAAAGAAAGGGAATGCAGAAAGAAAAACTGGCAAATAATTAACTTTGTAAGAAAATACATAAAGCTAAATACTACTACTACTTCTTAAGCATAGGTCATGCATCAGGAACTAGAGACCCTTTATGTGCCTGTGGTGAGTAGGTTCTCAATTCAGCAGCTCTTCCGAAGGCAGACCCTCATCCTCGGGGACTGCTGCGCCTACCAACTGCCCCTACCAACTGCCCCAGGGCTCTTTGTCACATGAGATCTGCCAGTGACACCTCTTGGTAATGACATTTGGGGACAGAGGGGAAGTAGATTACAAGGCACCAAAAGAATCTCTTCATGGGGTGCCTCACTGGCTTACTCAGTAGAGCATGAGACTCTTAATCTTGAGTCATAAGTTCAAGTCCCACACTGGGCACAGAGATTACAATCAATCAATCAATGGATCTCTTGGTAACTGGTAAACTTTGCTCTCTGGAATCGGACTGCAGCCCCACAGGAGGCTGCGTTTGAAGGAAAGTGTCGCACATGTGAAGTTTAGGCTGACGTTTCGGACATTTCTTTATGGTCTCGTCTATACGGTAGATGTAAGCATCCTGAAATGCAAAGAATTACTAAAGCTCTACTGTATCCTGTAGAGACACTGGGGACATGTGCAGAATGACCATGGTGCAAAGATACTGTTAGAGAAAGCAATTTTGGAAAACAAGTCTCTGGTCCATCCAGACACTGGAATACTATTCAGCCCTAAAAAAGCAATGAGCTGTCAAACTCTGAGAAGTCATGAAGACTCTTACTGGAGCACTAAGTCAAAGAAGCCAATCTGAAAGGCCTCATACTGTGTAATTCCGACTTTCACAAGACATTCTGAAAGAGCTACAACTATGAAGACAATAAAAAAGATCAGTGTTTGTGGAGAGGGATGAACAGGCAGAGAACAGATGGTTTTGCGGGCAGTGAGAACGCTCTGTATGTTACAACGGTAGACACGCGTCATACACATTTGTCTAGACTCCCAGAATGCACGACCCCAAGAGTGAGTCCTCATGTAAATGGTGGACTGTGATGATGGGTGACAGTGATATGTCAGTAGACAGTCACCAACTGTAGCAATGTCCCACTCTGCTGGGGAGCGCTGATGATGAAAGAGGCTGTGCACGTGCGGGGACAGGAACATGGCGGAAATCTCTGTACCACCTTCGCAATTTTGTTGCAAACCTAAAACTGCTCTAAGAAAATCTTAAAAAAAAAAAAAACAGGAAAAAAATGATATAAAAAATTATTTCATGTCGTTTCAAAATTAAAAATACCTTCGTAGGCTAGCAAATTCACAACCACCATGGAAGACTAGTAAGGAGGAATTATTGAGGTGAGAATGTCTACTATGTATTCCCAGGGACATTCTTTCCCTAAAGTTACACTCATTGGACGGCACTGTTAAATCAATCAGCCACAAGGTGCAGGATCCCTCAGGGTAAGAATTAATAGTAATAAATATCTGCATAAACTTTTGTTTCTGGTTTCCAATGAATTTTATGTGGTGTCACTTAAAACAGTAACTACTGAGAAGTATAATTAAGAAAACACTGTGTCATCTCAAAGCCAGGTGGCCGATGCGATAGGCCAGGGAGGTGGTTTCTAAGGCCACTGCTTCTCGTGTGGTGGTGGCGGCCCTGCCCGGGTCCTTGCCCAGGGTGAGTGCGTGCAAGGGGGAGGGGGCCGCCTGCAGGGAACATGGTCCACACTCGGCACCTCACCACAGGGAAAGACGGACTCCCATTTCCTAACTTCAGTGAGGATAAACCTCAAGTCATCTCACTCTTAGTGCAAGTCAACGAGATACAGCAGCCCCTGACGCACCCTGGCCTCAGAGATGGGGGAAGAGCAGAGCAAACCAGGCTTAGCAAGACAAAACCCGAGGACAGGCAGGTGGAACCACCGTGCCGCTCCTTGGCCTGCTCGACGCAGAATCCGTGTGCTGACGATACTCGTCATTTCTAGCCTCTGGTTTTAGAGATGGAAGGAAACTAGAAGCACATAACTAGAAGCTAAGCAGACACGATCTGAGGGAGTTCAATTTGACCTGTTTGAGTCTCATTTTAAAATTGTCTATTTGCCGAGACACCTGAACGAGGAAACGGCCCACTTTTGTGAAAGCCTCATTCATAACCGTGTAGGGACTCCTCCGGTCATCAGCTCCAGGCCCTGGGGAACTGGTTGCTAGGATACCACAGAAGCCACATAAACAGGACTTCTTCCCTCTTTCACTTTGAAGGGTTCCATTTAGATGCATCCGTGTGTGTGGGTGTGTGTGTGTGTGTTGGGGGGCTGTTGGTGGCATGTTACACTCTCAGCAGCCTGGGAGCAGCACCAAAACATTGTCCAATCCTGAGCCCCGGGCTCGGCTCACTCCCAGGGCCCCAGGGAGGCCTCTGCTAACCTGCGAGCCTGTATGTGTGCACTTGTTTGCTTTGCTTGGGGAGAAATATTTGGTTTGCACATCTTCAAACACACTAGGTGAGGGGTAAGAGAATCAATCAGGCTTTAAAAAACCAAATTAAATCACTGGGGAAAAAAGTTTACCTTTTTAAACTAAAGCAGCATGAAGAGTTTTTCTAGTGTTTGTCAGCCCAACAACTGAACAAATAATCACTGAATGTTCATCAGCTATTTAATACCGAGGACTCAGAAAAAAGAGAACATAGTTCTTTCCCTCCAGAGGGAGGGAAAGCTTTCCTAGCCGCTCACTGCTCTGAACGTGGGTGCAGTCAGGGTGCAGAAGCAAGACGACACAGATCCCACCCAGGAGAAGTTTTTCTAGAAGGAAAGAATTCACGCAATTTTTTTAATCCATTCTACTACTGAGGAGTCTCTGGGATGTTTCCACCTTGGGGCCATTATAAATCATGCCACCATGAACGTTCTTGCACATCTTCTGACAGACACTCGTGTGCACTTCTCTCAGGGATGTGCTGGGAGTGGAAAACCGGCTCACAGGGCAGGTGTGTGGGTCTGGGGTCAGCAGACTCTGCCAGAAAGTCTTCCAAAGGGATTATTCCAATTTCCATCCTCAGCAGCTTGCTCCACATCCTCGCCATCACTCGATACTGTCGGTCCTTTATATGAGCCATTCTGGCAGGTTTCTCATTGTGGGTTAAATTCACATTTCCCTGACGACTGGCAATGTCGACCTCTTTCCACAAGTTTACTGGTCATCTGGATTTCATCTTTCCCGAAATGCCATGAGTCTTCTTTTAAAACCTGAATTACCTTTTATAGAAGCCCTTTACATACTATGGACAGGAGTCCTCTGGGAGATATCCGTAACGCAAATCTCTTTTCCAAGTCTTTCTCTTATAGTACGTGGTCCTGGGTTACAATTTCTATGTCTTGTTTAAGAAATCTTTGTCTACCCCAACCTAATAACCACTTTGCTCTCCTACAGATGCCCTCTGGGGACTCCTAAGTTTATCTTTCACACGGAGGTCTGATTCATCTTGAGTTAATGTGTCTGAACAGTGTGAGGTGGGTAGTTGGGTTATTTTTTCCCCATTATGGACACTGAATTAGTCTAACTCCATTTATGGAAAAGACCATCCTTTTCTGGATGAGCTGCAGTGGGCTCTGTTGTGTATGCAGGAACCTGTTTCTGGATTCCCTACTCTGTTCTGTGATAGGACTTTTATTATCATGATTATTTGAGTCCTACCACTGATTCAAGTGCAATCGTACATGAAAATTCACCTTTCTCATAGGAATTAACACCTATAATAGGGTGTTTGTATGAGAACATCTATTTATTGAAAAACTGTATGCTGGGCACTTTACAAACATGATGACCCTGTGGGGGCCGGGCCCATTTTATAAGCAAAGAAGCTAAAACTCACAGAGGGCAAATGAAGTGCTTACAAGGTAGCAAGAGGCAGAACCTAGGTGTGTCAGGCCCCAGGGCCACTGCTCCTTCCACATGCCACGCTTCCTCAACACAGGGTCACTGGGAAAAACACCGTCTGCTTATCATTCCTGTAAACTGCTACATTTCTATACGCAAGTAAAATTTACAAATGAGATGTCTCCATGCTGAAAATAAAAAACATAAAAAAATAAAAAGGAAAAGAGAGAAAGGAGGGGAAGAAAGAAAAGAACAGATTAAAAAAAAATCCTGTTTGGACTCTCATTCTGTGCCTGTCCCCTCCCCCTCCAATAAAAACAAAACAAAACAAAAAAACCCACATCAAGGACAAATGATGAAAACACAGATCAAAAAAGAATGAAAGAAAAACATTTCAAATAAAGCTCAGTGGTTTCTATTTGGAAACAACAACACAAAATCCCACTTGCCACAATGAACGGACAAATAAGAAATTGACTCTGTGGCAGAAGAGCTGGGATTTTCCGACGGCATCTGCCACCGTGTCATTACCGTGGGTGACCCACAAGCGAGCGGGCGAGTGAACAGCTGGACCCCGGCTGGGCTTGTGCCCCCTGGCGCAGCAGCAGTGAGTGGGGGGCAGTCCTTCCCCGCTAAGCACCCTTTCGACATGTTGTCTTTTCCCCGAACCTGGAAATCCCCGCTGGCCTCCAGAATCGACCTCTAAGAAATGGAGCCTCGGTCCTAGGTTCCTAGCCTGTGGGGGTGGGGGTCAGCCCTAGTTTGCTCTGACAGGACAGCCAGCCTGAAGTGCCTAATCCCCAAGGGTGGCCAAGAAAGTGGAGGAGACGTCTCACAGGGTCCCAACCGCAGACTTCCCCTGGGGAACGAGGCCTGTCCCCCACAGGTGTCACATGCCCTCATCCCGACCCCAAGGAGGATGCTTACATAGTACGTGGGCATGACCAGCTGACCCAGAGTGATCGGAGTGTGGGGGGATTTTTATTAACTGACAGTTAACATCAGCATGATTCCTGGTCTAAGCATACTCCAAAAGATACATTGCTTTTTGACACAAAATACTGAAATCAAAGTTCAATTAAAACTTGGCTGGTGTTAATTAGAAGAAGGGGTGAAACCGAACAAATCTGGAATAATATCACTGCTGAACCGAGCTTACTTAATTCACAAAAGAACCACAGAACCCATGGGAGAGATTTCTCTTGGGCTTCAAACCACCCCTACTCCCACCAATAAACCACACACACCCTCCCTGGGCTGCTATCTGTTCACTGTTTTACTCATTTATCTACCCCCCAGGAAGCATTTATTAGATGTTTACTATGTGCCAGATGGTGGCATATTATACCGAGGTGAAAAACAAAAATGGTCCCTGCCCTCAGAGAACTTGGCCCAGGGTAACCGAGATGTAAATGCACAAATATTTAACGACAGACTGTGATAAGCTGACAAAGCAGGTTCTAGGAGGGGTGACCTGACCTCCCCGGGCTCCAGGGACACTTGGCTGAGGACGGGACCGAGGGAGCTGGGCAGGCAGCACGAGGAGGACCGGACCAGGGGAGGGTAGTTCAGGTGAGAGGTCAGTGTGGGTGACTGCCTGAGGTGACAATTAGGTTCATCTGAGAAACAAAAAAGGAAAGTGTGTCTAGGGGATGCTGCAGAAGGGAAGGAACAGCTCTGGATAAAAATGGGAGGCAGGCAGGGGCAGGGTCATACGGGGCCTTTCAGGATATGCTGGAGACTCTGGGTTACTCTACGCACAATGGGCAGTCCTGGAGATTCTGTAAATGGGGCATATTTGTGAGAGATGGTGTGGGGGGCAGGGAGAGTCAAGAGAGACAGAGAGGAAGGATCCTGTTCTGGTTTTAAAAGATCGCACTGAATGGATGGGGAATCCTTATCTGCTGAACACCCCAAGGGAAGGAGGGGAATAGGAATTGGGAAGCTACGGCTGACCCAGGCCAGGGTGACGAGAGTATGCACGGGGTGGTGGGAAGGAGATGGATGAAAGTGGATGGACCTGGGACATGTTCCAGAGAGAGAATCAGTAAGATGTGGTGACACCTTAGAGGCAGGAGAATAAAAAGAAACAGCATCACGCATGGCTACCAGATTTCTGACCTGAGCAACTGGATGGATGGAGATATTCCCCCAAGCACTGAGAAAGAGAGGGGATGGTTTTACGGGGATAGTAATAGTTCAGCTTTAGACATGCTAGGTTTGGAGCGTCGGTAAGACATACAAGCAAATGTTAACACAGGGTGTTAGAAACTTGTCTGAGAAGCAGAAGAGAGCTTTGTCTAGAGACTGAATTTGGGAGCCACAGGAAAAGAGATCTTTAAAGCCATGAGATACCCACAATACAAGTCCATGTCACCATCTCCACGGTAACAGACTGGTCCAAGCCACTATCACCTCTTGCCTGGACGACTGCCATAGCCTTCTTACAGGATTCCCTGTCATTCTGTGGGCCCAGAGAGTGTCTGGCACATAAAAGGTATTCAACAAACACGGAATGAACTTAAAGAATAAATGGGTGGGATTCCTTAGGGAGAAGATGCAGAGTGAGGCGAGCACTCCTGAGCTCCACAATGTCCAGGAGTGCTCCGACATTTAAGAGCTGTGCAGAAGAGGAGGCAACAAAGGACTCAGAGAGGAAGGATCCAGAAAGACCTGAAGAAAACCTATAGAAGGTACTATCATGAAAGCCAAGAAAGAAGCAGTTATGTTAAGGAGGAAGTGATTAATTCTTTAGAACTGAGTTTTAACACGACGAGAACAACAAAGTACCACTGATTCTGGCAACACGGTGATGACTGGCGACAGTAAGCAAATGATGAAGCTTATGAGCCCCTTCACCTACCTACATGCCCTTTTGAAGACCTACTGGATTTTTTAAAGACACAAACCTTCAACCACAAAAAAAATTTCAGACGCTAAAAGGCAGACAGAAAAGAAGTAACAGGGCCATGGCTTACGGTTGTGTAATTTAGCAAACCCAAGAAAGTTGCCCCTAAACTGGCAATGAGAGAAACATTCTGCCCTGCAGAACCCCCCAAAGCTCAGATGTTGGTGCCCACATGTACCTCTTCAATGGGAGGTAAAAAAGAAGGCCTGTTTGCAAAGTTAAAACGTAGGTGTATCCCTAGATCCCCTTTCTTTACCTCAACAGAAGACTGGAAGATTCATTAATCAATGACAGGATAAAACAGAGATACTCTGGCATGGGAGGATAACAGATACCATGCCGGAAATAATGTAATGAAGTGAAAGTATACACGTTAAAATGTAGAGGTCCTGCAGCTCTCCCAATAAAATGGTGGTATCAGGCATACATTTTCTTTTTTTTTTTAGATTTTATTTATTTATTTGACAGAGAGAGACACAGCGAGAGAGGAAACACAAGCAGGGGGAGTGGGAGAGGGAGAAGCAGGCTTCCCGCAGAGCAGGGAGCCCAATGCAGGGCTCGATCCCAGGACCCCGGGATCATGACCTAAGCCGAAGGCTCACGACTGAGCCACCCAGGTGCCCCTCAGGCATACATTTTCAAACAAACTCATCTACTTCCTCACCAACAGCCCCACTTTAAAGGAAATTCTAAAGATTTCAGGCAGAAGGAGGATGATCCCAGCTGGACAAACAGAGATACAAGGAGTGAAGGGCAGGGAAAGTAGTAAATATGTGGATAGATCTAAATGAACACTGACATTATGGGGTTTGAAAATGGAATTAAAGTGTGTAACAACAACAGCATGTAAGTTGGGGGCCACTAAATGGTCCTGGGAAGGGGGTAAAGGTTTGAGAAACATCAGACTTTCCTTAGTTAATGATGCATGTTGTAATCTTCCCAGTATTAACAGAACAGAAGAAAGAATAAAGAACATTTAAACTAGAAAAAGATAAAAACTGAATTATACAAAATAATTAATCTAAAAGAAAGAAAGAAAGAGAGAAAAAGAAAATAAAATAGGAAGGACATATAGAGAGGCTTCAATATAAATAGATCAGTAATTGTATTAAATATAAATGGGCCAAACACAACAGCTAAAAGGCAGAGATTGTCAAACTAGATTAAAGAAAAAACCCAACTACATGCTGTTTACAAGAAACAACTCTGATACAGAGAAGTTGAAAATAAAAGGGTTGAAAATGTAATACCACGTAAATACCAACCAAAAGAAGACAGTATTGTTTAGGTGTCAATTCTCACCAAATTTATTTTAGTTCAATGCAATTTCAATGAATAACTCAATATGCAAGGATGTATTATTTTGATGAACAGAAAATATAAGAAAGGAAAAAACCTAAGAATGGGTGGGGGAGAGTGAATGGGAGGTCAGGACGAAAAGTCAGGGTAGTTAAGAGAATTCTCTGGCAAACTTGCCTGTGGGTGAGAGCAGAGGAACAGCATGGAAGGCGCCCTGGTGTGGTTTTATTCTACAATCTGAATCATGTCCCTTTTGCTCTGGCTACTAGGAAGCCAGGTTCTAATTTATGGCTCACATCTAAAGACTGATTCCCTAGGCTCTAGTGCTTCTTCATTTCTTCAAAACCATCATTTTCCCTTTGCTCTGAGATTTTGGTATGTTATCTCGTATCTTATTATGCCTAAAATTTACAGGCCTTTACAATGTGGTAGGCTTTAATAAATAAAACTCCAAAGAATTAATGAATATGCATAATACTAAACTACGTAATATTTTAACTTTTCTTGACAATTTTAAGAATATTCTGGGGTCTTGCAAGTCTTCATTAATTATCACCGTAAAAGCTAGTTATCTATACAGATTATCCATATACATGTTGAATGATTTCTCTTCTACATGAACAGGTTACTGTGGTTTCCCTGGACGTGTTCTATCCCCTCCCTGTGACTCATGAGGAGGCAGGACAGGAACGCGGCTGAGAACCAGGCACACACCAAGCTTACATTCTGGGTCTGATCTTAGGATGAGCCGCTGAGACTCTCCCAGTGTACGTCCTCATCTGCAAGATCGGGGTGACGATGACGACAGTACCTGCTTCGTGAAGCCGGCAGGATTAAATAAGGTGATGTGCAAAAACACACAGGAAGGATTCAGGGAATGTTTCTGGAAAGAAGGAGGGAAGGAACAGATCAAGGCCTGGCAAGGAGGAGGCCAAAGAGCCCGGAAGTGTGAACCACAGGTGGCATGTCTGTTCAGCCACAACATGCTGTGTGCAAGAGACTGTCGCAGCCGAAGATTAGTGACCAAAACCTTCGTTCACTAGGAGGTCAACTCGGGGTATACGAGACCCTGCGTGAATTTCTTTTTTCATAATAATTCATCTTTTTCATCAGGAAGCGCACCAACTGTAACTGTGCTCGAGCTTTCTTGTACTGCTTTCCTGCGACCGAAAGCTTTACTTTTTTCTTTTTCCTTTCTTTTTCTGGAGCTAAAACAAATTTCAGAGCTCTGTGAGGCGCAGAGCCTGTTGTGCCTGATTATAATGTGATGCAGTGAGCCAACTCCGTTTTACCTCAAAGAAGAGTCTTCTGAGGCTGTTTTGTCTTTTCCTGACTGAGCTTATAAACTGTTGTGCTCTTTAAAATCAGAGTTTCTTCTATTGCTAATCAGACAAATGATGGTATCTTTAGCATAGTAATAGCATGTCTCCATCTACGTACTTCAAATACATGATTTTCATCATCTCCTTTTCTCTTCTTCACAGAAACCACAGTGGGGGTGTTCGTTAAATGCCCCCCTCCCCCATCTTCTCAGTCCTAGGCTGGGCTACTCACTGTCTCTCAGGGTTACACTCTCCATGTCCTTATTCATCCCCCTCCCCAAACATGTGCAACTGACACAAGGGCACGCAGAGGCCAGGGCGAGAGACTGGACTGAATCCGGCTCTCACCACGAAGTCCTGAACTTACACAGAATACCTCTCAAACCTAAACAGGCTGAGCTCCTCATCACTGTTCTAGATCCGTTTCCTACAATGTCACTAAGGTGACATGATGGAGTAAGTAGGTTCCCTGTATGCCCTTCATCAAGGGTGGTCACCCAGGCAAAGGCAAGAACCGGAGCCCCCAGCTTCAATAAAGAGGATCACAGGACAGAACCCATCCAAAATGGGTACTTGGTGCCACTGAAATGTTTCTCCCCATTCCTGGGGCCTCTGAGTGCCCCTGATGTCCCTCTGTCACTAAACCATGGCTAAGATGGTTCTTCCCAAAGGACTGGATACTAAGACTGTCTAGAGCAGAACAAAAACAAAAAAAACACAAAAGAACCCCGAAATTCTTCATATTTACCCCAAGGAACACACACAGTTTGGAAAGGTGACATTGGCGCCCTGTCGCACACACGGGGACCGTGGATGAATGCTCTCCCCCCCAGAGTTTTAAAGCACTAGTGAGGAGAAGGCCGGTTTAGAATGCCCCCCACCTTGAACACTCCAGCTCACTACCCCGCACAGACTGCAAGAGTGATATTGCAGCTCCCGAACCTTGAGAAAGTGGCTTAGTTCTGAGGAACGAGCACACAAGAAAGCCAGTGGCCCCACACCCAGTGAACCCCAGGAAAGGGAACTGTGCCGTCCCGACTGCGGACGGACGCTCACGCCTCCCATGCAAGGATACAGGGGTTACTGTCGTCAATGCTGCAGCTGTCCAGGATCAAGGGAATGCCGTCCAGCTCGTTGACCTGCAGAGAAAGGAAAAGGCAAATTTATACGCTGAGAAAAGCTTGGGTCACACTGGAGATATAGAGGATTTGTTTCTCCTTTCTATTTCCTTACTCATTGCTACAACAGAATAGCATTCTGTCGTAGTTCAAGCCTGCCCCATCAACCACAGCAGAGTTCTAAACGTGACCTTCGACAGCGAGGGCAGGCAGACACAGGAGGTTAGACATTAGTGACCGGCCTGCCCCAATGGATTCAGATGATGATGAGACGTCAGTTAACAGGTGACCCTCCTCCTCCCCCTGCTACAGCCCGGTCTCCTGTACCTCCCATCACCCCAACCTCCGACGACTCAGCCCAACACCCATAGTCACCACCTCAGAGCCTTCCGGGGTGCACGCCGTCCACCTCCTTCTGCTAAGTTACACTCTGCTGTACATACATCATTTCTACTTTACACAGGCTGCGTATTTATTGTATCATTCCTGCTTTTACGACATGTTAGTGTTACTTTAGGTTTTATGTGTTATTTGGTAGGATTTGGTAGGTTATTTTTGGGGACTGAAAATGCTCAAAAATTTTTCCATGTAAATTAAGGGTAATTGTTTCTTTGCCTTCTGCCCTCTCAGCTTATAAGGCTTCAGAGGAACTCTCTGCTTTTGGTTATCGGGGGAAACCTGTATCTAAAACACCTACACCAACCCAGAAATATTTAAAAACAGACATATAAACAAAAAGGGATACATTATTTCTCCTTTCACCCCTCCTCAAAAATGCTGGCGCAACTGGATAGCCATATAAAAAAGGATAAAGTGGATCTCTTCCCAATACTGTTCACCAGGATAAACTCCAAATGGAGCTGAGTTTATTATAGTTTAGTAGTACTAGTCAGTAGATTGTTTTTCTATGTTAAGAGTAGGAAAAGCTTTTCAAACCGATTCGCAATCCTGAAGCAATAGGAGAAAGGTTTTAAAAGTTGGACTACATTTTTTAAAAAGGCAAACAGAAACTGGGAAAATTATTTGTAAGATATCACAGGCAAAAGGTTCATATTTTAAATATAAAGAACTTTTAAAAACTGAGAAAAGGCCAGCAATCCAGTAGAAGACAATGGATCCAATATATGAACAGAAATGGCACCGAAACAAAGAAATGCAGATGGGCCACGGACATCGGAATGTGTTCAACCCTGCAAACGGCTAGCACACTGAGACACCCTTCCCACCCAACAGTGTGGCAAAGGAGCAGGCGACGGGGAGCCAGGCGTCCTCACACACTGCTGGAGAGTGCAGACGGCCCAGCCCCCGCGGAGGGGCTGCTTGGGGTGAAGCGGACTCACATGGGGTATTACTCTCTGACCCAGTCATCCCAGTCCCAGGACAGCACCTCAAACCGCACAGTCACACGAAGTTATGTTTGCACACGTTATTCACTGCAACACACGATGATGCTCACCCTCTTAAAGCATACAATTCAGTGGATTTTAGTTTATTCACACAGCTGTGCGACCATTACCACTACCTAGTTTTAGGACACATTTATTATCCCCAGAAAGAAACTCCATACCTATCAGTCATTTCTCATTTCTTCCTCGGCCCACGCCTTGGCAACCACTGATCTGTCTATGGATTTGCCTATTCTGGACGTTTCGTATAAATGGGACCTTTCGGTATGTGGCCTCTTCTTTCAGTTAGCGTAACACTTTCAGGTCCATCCACACTCCAGCATGTAACAGCACCTCATTCCTTTTTACGGCTAAATAATATTCCACCGTCCGGACAGACCACATTTTATTTATCCGTTCATCCACTGACAGACATTTGAGTTGAAACGTTTCAACTTTCTGGCTATTATGACAAAGCCGCTGTGATCATTGTGTATGTGTTTCTGAGTGGATATGCATACTCAATTCTCTCGGCTGTACATCTGGAGGGGAAATTGCTTGGTCTTGGTGACTCTTTAACATTTTGGGGAACCGCCGGAGCATTTTTCAAAGTGCTGCACCATTTTCTATTCATGCACGAGGGTTCCAATGGCTCCACATCCTTCTCAATACTTGTTTGACCATCCTCGTGGGTGTGAAGTGCTGTGTCATTGTGGTTTTGACCTGCATTTCTCTGATAACTAATCATGTTGCGTACAGCACAATTTACAACCACAAAGACCCCAGAAACGACTCAGATGTTTAGCAACGCAGGCTGGTCGAATAAACTACGGCACAGACACCAAGGTAGGAAGCTGTGAAAGGGAGTGGGGGCGACCTAACGCACTACTCTGCAGGCATCGCCAGGACAGAATGGTCAGTGAAAAAACCCAAGTGCAGCACGGGCTTATCTGTGAACCTTTTGGGTCATGCATCGGGAGAAATACACAAATTTGCTTCTATTTCCCAGAAGACACAATGAAGCGTTAAACAAAAAGCTAGTAACGGTTATCCATAGGGGGTGAGGAGAGAATGAGGCACGAGAAACAGGAACGGAGGCAAGGCCTCTGTTAATGTACCTGCTTATGTAATTCTGACTTTGGAATCCTGAATATGTTTTATATAATTTTCTAAAATTAAATTTATAATGGATGTTAACTAGACTTACAGTGATTATTTCACAATATGCACAAATATTGAGTCATTATATTGTACACCGAAGGTAATATGTTGTATGTCAATTATGCCTCAAAAAAAAGTTAAATTTACTAAAGTTATAAAAATAGAAAACAGAAGCAGATTAATCTGATGACATGTAAAACAAAGAAAAACTATTTCACAGAACTGAAACAGTATTTGACTTTAGGTCCCTGATGAGAGGGTGGCCGGTTAGCTCAGTTGGTTAGAGCGTGGTGCTGATAGGTCCCTGATGAGATGTATCCTAAGCTCAGAGAGAAATCTTCAAATGGCATTCAGCTTAATTTATTCTGAACTTCCATATATTTAAAGCAAAGGGTAATTAATGTTATTAGGAACTAAGATTTTCAGCATAAAAAAGAAGTATCAAATCCAAAGATAATTTTACACTTACAAATTAGAAATATTAGCAAGATTTCCTGATCTATTTTTCAATCTCTAAAAAAAACTTCCTAGCTGCTTACTGTAAAGGCCTTAGCGAAGACAAGCAGAGGTGAGCATTCCCAGTACTGGATGAATTACAGATCTTCCTCGACTCACAATGGGGTTATGTCCCAATGAACCCACCGTTACTACACCCAACCTACCGAGCATGGCAGCTTAGCCTGGTTGACCTTAAGCGTGCTTGGAACGCTCACATTATTAGCCTACAGTGAGACAAAATCATCTGCCACAAAGCCGATTATCAAATGATAATAAAGTGTTAAATATCTCATGCAATTTGCTGTCCAGAGTGAGAAACAGAAAGGCTGAAGAGTACAACACGGCTGTCAGCATATCAGCTGCTGCTGACCCTCATGATGGGGTGGCCGATGGGAAGCTGTACCGCGCGTATTGCTAGCCCGAGAAAAGATCCACACTCAAAATTCCAAGTGCAATTTCTATGGAACGAGTTATCCCTTTCACACCATCGTCAGGTTGAAAACTCCTAAGTCGAGCCACCGTCGGTGGGGGACCTGTCCCAGTGGAGGATGGCGGACCTCCCACTGCATGCGACGCACACACCCGCAGCAGGGTCACTGCTGCCGACCATCGTCAGTTTCACAAAGGCAGACAGGAAGAGAATCAATCTAAGAGAAATGAATGTAACAGACATCTAGTACACACGAGGCGATGACAAACACTTTCATCATGTTTCCTTTCATTCTGGTGAGGCCAGGGTGAGCATTATTGGCTCCATTTTACTGATAAAGGAAGTGGCTCATGAGTCTAAGTACCCTCCCCAGGATCGCTTAACTAACAAGTGCTATTCCAAGGGGCCTGGAGACCACCGGAAGTCTGTGAAAACAGACCGGGAGGGGAAGAAGTCAGAAACTGTGCTAACGGTTTAACAGGGTTATGCTGTTATGTCCCCTGAATCTTATAATAACATCTAGGTTTGAGTCTTCCAGATCTTTTTAAAATTTTTATTTTTCTAGTAATTCATTTGTATTATATTTCATAAACATACTGAGGAATAAAAATATAAATATATAAAAATAAATTTGTAAATATCTTTATAAAGATATTTATAAGAGTATCTTATATTCTTATAAGAAAAGAGGAGCAGTTCTTCAGCACAGGTAGTGTGAGGAGCGCTGGCACCAAAGGTCAGAACCCTAGAGAGGGCTGCACCTGGAAGGGGCCATGTGCTTGAAAAGAGCAGCAGGAAATTTTTGGGCCAAACTGGTAGTGGTTTTATATTCAAAGTGAGATTTTATTCAAAGCTTCCCGACGCAACCCTCACGCCGCATGTCTCCTCCAATAACCTGCCACACATCTACCTGCCACGCATCCCCACGGAGCAAGGATCCCGATGTGGGGGACAATGACATCTCCAACGGCTCTGCTCGGGGGTGAAGAGGAGGGATACAGGCAAGCAGCAAGGGCCTGCTGGATGGCATAGCGATGACGGAATACCACCTGACCCTCCAGCCCTTTGCAAATGTGTGATCTTAAATCCTCCTGGAACATACCGGAATAGCGGGGTGTCTGACTATATAGCACCGGACTCGCAGGGAAGACCTCCCTGCAGAAGGGACATTTAGCTCGGGATGAGCATAAACATGCACTAAGTGGACAAATCAAGGGGGCCGTGGAGGATGTTTTGCAGGGAGAAGAGCGTGTGCAAAAGGGGGGAGATCTGAAGGAACAGGGCTGTTCCAGGAACTGGCCGGGCAGCACGGCGATGAAGGGCGAGCACTGGGGAGCCAGCGTGCTGGGGTCGAAGCCTGGTTCTGCAGCAGCACTGCTGAGTCGAGTGACTTTGGGCAAGTCATTTCACCTTGGCGACTGCGTCTTCTCGCCCATAAAGCGGGAGGGTGGGGCTCGCTTCCGAGGGTGGCTGCGAGAAGGGAACTGACTGCTACGGAGGCCAGCCCACGGCGGTGCTCCATGATGGCGGCAGCTGGTCACACTAAC